ATTGCACTGTACACACACTGTGCGTGGCGTGTTTTACCATATTTGAACCTGTAACAGGATCGCCGTGGTTTTTCTCTGTGTTTTGCAATTTTTTGATCACAAGTTACAACAGAGTCCGCAGAAAAATAGACAAAATAATCCCCCTCAACTCTCCCGGAGCTCTATAGGAGTTGGCTCATGGTTCACGTTGGCCTTGCAAGTTGCGCGAGTTGTCGGCGCAAAGCTTTCGACTCTGGCTCGAGACGTCTGCCTCGTGCTGGCGGAGAGTATCGTATGGACAGTAAGTCAAAAGAGTGGTCTGTCAGGATGTCAGCGTACACAGGATGTGAGTTTACTCACAACGTGGATTCACTGCTCTGAAATGAGAATATCATGCTTTGACTGTGCGGCCAAGAAAAGCAGCAGAAACATGGACTTCCTGAGGGTGGAGAAAAATTCCAGGGAAACGGCAGCAGCGAAAAACAACTGCACGTAAATCTGTGATGGACGATGGTCACACACCGATGAAATACGGTGACAGGCTGCAGGAGAGCAGACTCTCAGTGCACGAGGCTCAGCGTCAGATTCAGAGTTGTGCTTGTTTCCTTTAGTCTTTCGTAGCAAACAAAGTGATTTGAATATTTGTTTATTTATGGGTCAACAAAATTCAGAGAAGCAGTAATGTGTTATGATTTAAATTTGACTTCCACCAAGGATTTAGTTTGTTCTTCAGCTACATTACACAAACACCACTGGACGGATCACCATGAAACCCGGTGGAAGGATAAAACACTGGACTTTGGTGCAGATAGTCGGGCACATTAAGAGAACTGACATCTCTGAGTCTGGACCTTGGCGGAGGAATGTGCACTTCTGAGTGCTGTTCTGGTTTTTTTTTTTTTTGAAAAGGTTCAATCATTTCCTCACGCAGCTGGGTTCTGTGGTTTTTAATAAACATCTCTCAAACTGTTGGAAATATTGCATTTGTTGCGTCGGAACTGTTTCCTGCAGCTGACTGACCAGCATCAGACCCAAGATTGTTAACGGGATTCATTTTAATGCTGGAGTTTTGTACTGTTTAAAACCAGCAACCTTTTAAAACCTGTTGGATTACATCAGGAACCAGTGAGACGAAGCTCAAGCTTCACGGTTTTTACACAGTAAGTTAGAAAACATTCTGTAAGACGAGCAGAGCAGCTCACAGCTCCGTCCATCCAACCTGTGAGCAGCGACCTCTGTACATCCCACTGAGCCGCTCCCCCCCCCACACACACACACACACACACACACACCCTGCAACTCTGGACCAATCTGTTCCCGCACACTGAAGCCTCCTCGTCTCCTGCTCATCGTGACTGATTGAAAGGACGGCACATGGCCAAAGCAAAGCATGTAGGATGAGTGGGAGCAGTGGGAGCTCTGAGCGAGGATGGAACCACGCTCTGTGTGTGTGTGTGTGTGTGTCGGCCTCTCTGTACAAATGTGTGTGTGTGTTTTTCAGAGGGTCTGGGAAATAGATTTAGCAGCAGACGGCAGTATGTGTGGTCACTGTGGCACCGCGGCCTCATTAGGAGGAGCTGGGACACTGGGCCTGACAGACACACAGACAGACTGGGGTTTTTTTATCCGGCAGCATCGACACATGTTCGCCCGATTTCATCAGGTCTGGAGCTGCCGCCCCCTCATTAAAGCTGCATGTCATTCTGCTGCGACCACAGGACGAAAAGAATTCTGGAAAAAACGGCTCATTGTAATTCAGATGCAGTTGTGTTTATGCTTTTTTTTATTACACTGCAGTGGACGGAGTCATTTCTAAAGACTCACCGCCTTAAGAAAATGAGTGATCACCTATTTGTTTGGTTTTATTTTTTCAGCGCGGTGAAAATGTTTTATGGTTCATTTTTCTGTTGTTTTTCTAAACTCTTCAAAAGGAAGAGGAAAAAGAAAATATATCATTTATCTTTATAAATCAAATGTTCCCTAATTCTTTTGCGTGTTTTTTTTAATTTTCGTACTAGATTTTTGTATTTTAGGTGGATTTCTCACCATTTGTTTTCACCACTTCGTCTGAAGTGCAGATGTTTGAATACAGATGTGCAGTCACTGTGGAACGCTAATTAATTATCCCTCATCAAAGGCCGGGTACCTGTCTCTCTGTGAGGTCCAGGTTGACGGCGATCTCGTAGCGGCGCAGCCTGGTCAGGTAGTTGTGGTGGGTGAACTCGGCCTCCAGCTCCCTCAGCTGCTCCTTGGTGAACGCCGTGCGCTCTTTCCGGGCCTTGCAGCTGGAATCCACCTTAAAACCGGACTCCTGGATATCTGGAGAGAGAGAGAGAGAGAGAGAGAGAGAGGCGTTTCGTGAGTCGGACGCCTGTTTTTCTACTTCCGTCAAATCCGCTTCACGATATTTCATCAGACGGTTTCATGGATTTATTCCTTGAACCTTTTGCATCACATTTGTTTGAAATAAGAAAAAATCAACATCACGGCTCTTCTCTTTCTCCACTTGACCCGTGAACGCCTCTATTTAAATTTTATTCATGGCTAATTTGATTTGGATGAGCTGTCTGACTAATTCGTTGACCAGCCTCCAGTCGACTATTAAAAAGGGAACTTAAAGACTTTTCCAACCAGCAAACCACAACCTCAAAGACTCTTCAGTGGGAGGCCCCTCGTATAGTAAACACCAAAACCATCACTTTTAAAAGAGACCACCCTGACCTGAGCCCAGGAGCCACGTTCACCTGTATGTGCACAGTGAGCACGCGTGTACATGTAAAAGCAGGTATATTCTGCCTTTATTTGTATGTTTACGTGCATGAATGTGCAACTCGACATGTGTGCATTTTTTGCATTCACTCGTGGTGCGTGTGAGAATGTGTCGGCGCAGGGGCAGGGGCCACCAAACCGGCCACAGAGGGACTGAGTTAGGAGAGGAATGCAGCGGAACATCGTTAAAGCCTCTAACAAAAGAACAAAGGTGCGGATGTGTCCAGGTCTCAGTGTGTGTGTGTGTGGGAGATATTTCCTACTGGAGCACTCAGGGGAAATTCACATTAACTCATCTCTACATGACAGCAAATGCATCAGAAAACGTCTTGAGATCTCTCTATGAACGTGCAGCCGGGGTCGATATTATAAAAGCTTTGAAACAACGAGTCATGTCTCGTTTATTGCTCAGATTTATGGATCTCTCTGTCGCCATATTTCTGAAGAAATGGCAGAATTCTGGTGAGCTTACCAGGACAAACACAAACGAGAGCTGGAAGATTTAACGTTCAGTGAAAACCTCTCAGCTGCATTAAAAGGGAATTAGCTCTCTGTAATAACTGTGCATTAGTAGCGACACTAGCAGCTGATGTAATCTCTATAGAAAATGGTTCTAATTTGTCAGAGCAGAAAAGTTTTGCTTGGTTCTTGCCAGAGCACCGGGCCAGGACGTGAAATGGACTGGTCCAGATGTGACTGGGCAGACCAGGACGTGTGTGCATATCTGCTAAACGTGAGCAAACCTGATGTGTGTGCATGTGTCATGTCGGAAAACCGTCTTACTGCGGTTCAAACATCATTAATGGCACGCCGCTCTGAGTGTGCCGGCGCTGCCTGGCCTCGTCAGGTCTGGTCGGGAGCCGTGCCAGGCAGCTTTAGTCAGACCGAACACCTGGCAGGGCACAAACTGGCTCTCACTGAACAGGCCCCCAATAAATATCCTGCACAGCCAGAGGCCGTAAACTCTCAGCGAGGAGGCTTCTGCACCCAGCAGGGTCCCAGAGACAAACAGCATTTGGTGCCTGTTCGGGCAGATGGTGCAAAAAGTCGTTTGTCTGAATCAGGAGGAAAATGAAAGCTGTTGTAAATTATCAAACGTTTAAAAGTAAATCCCCCCGGTGAAAAAATTACACGAGTGACCGATCACGTAATTTGTGTGTAAAAGTCGCAGCCAAGATTTTACAAAGAATTACTTTCTTTTATAGGTAACCGCTTATTTATCTAATAATAACACAGTAACACGTGTGTGTGTGTGTGTGTGTGTGTGTGAATTAATCATGTTTGCTTGATAACAAATGAGTTAATGATTTAGTCCATGAACACATATCAACACCTTTTAAATCCAGATGTGATTGACTTGCACGTGTGCGTAAGAGGCTTTACAACATTGTGTTTGTTCACATGTGATCATTTGTTATTTATACTTTCATGAACGCTTCACAAGGAGTTATTATTATTCATAATCTATAAACATTTAAAATGTCCCACTCGTTCACAACTACAATGTTATTTAAAGTGTTTATAAACTGCCAATGAATGTTAGTATGACATAATAATTATGTTTGGATGTTTT